TGTTAATTAGGCAGATTACCTTGAAAAACATTGCTGCCGTATTTCTGATATAGTTTTTTGCAAATTTCTCAGTTTTTAATAACAATTAATTTATTTTGCTATTTTTTCTGTACTCCTATAACAGCGCCAGACAATACCTCCAGAGGAATGACGTCAGTTTTCTTAAACTTAAAAGGACGTTTTTTGGGGATTCCGCGCGTTTCTTGTGTTGAAGATTGCAACGATTCAGAGAGTCCAGGTGGAGGGTAGTGATGGTAATGGTAATGCATGTTCGATCCATTTCAACTTTTGTTGAGAAAAAGTCCCAGTAAAGACGCTGATTGCGAATCACCCTGTGATTCTCCCAATCAACTCCTTTGCCAAATACTCCGTTGATTTTCGCAAAATCCAAGCAAGCTGCGGTTCAAGCACTTGTTGGTTGGCCGTGAAATATTTAGCAAATTTCATATTATGCGACATTGAACGAAAGTCACATAATTCCCAAGGTGTTCTCGCATTGTTTTCATTTTTTGCCGTGTACTTGCGAGTAATAACCTAATCACGATAACAAATATTTGAGTGTAATCTAAACCGATAAGTCTAATGTTGCTGATATCAAATCGAACATTCGTTTGGTAGTGTTGTGTGTTTAGTGGAAATTGCGTACTGGATGTGCACGGTTGAAGCTGTGTAGACGTTTTAATTCGTTCCCAAGGGAAACATTGGAAATTGTTCCTGATAAAGCGTAAAACATCCATGGGAGTATGTTGATATCCGACTTCGGTAAGTTTGTGTTGGGTGATAAGAATTAAATGGAGCAAATATGTTGCCATTTATCTCTAAAAATTCAAAGTTTCTAACTAGACCCGCGGGATACTTGAAACTTGTGCACGACAAAGACAAGGCATTCAGGTAGGTCAGGTAGAAACTTTGCGAAAAAATGCTGAAAGGCTCATTTTTGAGCAGCGCCAGAAAATGAACGTAATTTAGCCCCATGAGCGGTTTCCTAAAGAAATTACATTTTCTAACTGGACCCACGGGCTACTTGAAACTTTTGCACAGCAAACACAAAGCATTCCGGTACTTCGGGTAGACAATACGCGAAGAGACTTATTTTGGAAAAGCGCTCAAAGACGACCGTACATGAGTCAAACGAGTCGCTCTCGAAAAAAATTCAAAACTTCTTAACTAGATCAGGGGGGAGCTTAAAACTTTTTCAGGGCACAAACAATGCACTCGAGTACTTCAGGTAGAAATTTTGACCAAAAGCACCCGGTAACTTATTTTTGAGAAGCGCCCAAAGATGGCCATAAGTTAGTCACATGAGGTCCTCTCCAAAAAAAGTTCAAAACTTTCTAACAAGACCAACTGGCGACTTGAAACTTTTGTACGCCAAACGCAGAGAATTCAGGTACTTCGGGTAGAAAAATCGCGCAAAAACACCAAGCGATTTATTTTTGAGAAGCGCCCAAAAACAATCAAATATCAGTCTCATGAGGCGCTCGCTAAAAAAAATCAAAACCTAACGAGAGCAACTGGCTACTTGAAACTTTTGCAGGGCAAAAACAAGGCATTCAGGTACTTCGAGTAGAAAATTCGTGCAAATCTACTAAGTGACTTATTTTTGAGAAGCGCCCAAAAATTACCATAATTTAGCGACATGAGCGGTTCTCTAAAAAAAATCAAAATTTCCCATCTAGATTGATGATCAACTTGAAACTTTTACAGGGCAAAAACAAGGCATTCAGGTACTTCGAGTAGAAAATTCGTGCAAATCTACCAAGAGACTTATTTTTGAGAATCGCCCAAAAATGACCATAATTTAGCCAGAAGAGCGGTTTTCTTTCTAAAAAAAAAATAATTTTCTAACTGGACCAACGGGCTGCTTGAAACTTTTACAGGGCAAAAACAAGGCATTCAGATACTTCGGGTAGAAAAATCGCGCAAAAACACCTAGGGATTGATTTTTGAGAAACGCCAAAAACAGCCAAATATCAGTTTCATGAGGCGCTCGCTAAAAAAAATCAAAACTTTCTAACGGGACCAACTGGCTACTTGAAACTTTTGCACGCCAAACGCAGGGAATTCAGGTATTTCGGGTAGAAAAATCGCGCAAAAACACCAAGCGATTGATTTTTGAGAAGCGCTCAAAAACAACTGAACATCAGTCCTATGAGGCGCTCTCTAAAAAAATCAAAACTTTCTAACGGGACTAACTGGCTACTTGAAACTTTTGCACGCCAAACGCAGAGAATTCAGGTACTTCGGGTAGAAAAATCGCGCAAAACCACCAAGCGATTGATTTTTGAGAAGCGCCCAAAAACAATCAAATATCAGTCCCTTGAGGCGCTCTCTAAAAAAATCAAAACTTTCTAACGGGACCAACTGGCTACTTGAAACTTTTGCACGCCAAGCGCAGAGAATTCAGGTACTTCGGGTAGAAAAATCGCGCAAAAACACCAAGCGATTTATTTTTGAGAAGCGCCCAAAAACAGCCAAATATCAGTCTCATGAGGCGCTCGCTAAAAAAAATCAAAACTTTCTAACGAGAGCAACTGGCTACTTGAAACTTTTGCACGCCAAACGCAAGGAATTCAAGTACTTCAGGTAAAAAAATCGCGCAAAAATACCAAGCGATTGATTTTTGAGAAGCGCCGAAAAACAACCAAATATCAGTCCTATGAGGCGCTCTCTAAAAAAATAAAAACTTTCTAACGGGACCAACTGGCTACTTGAAACTTTTGCACGCCAAGCGCAGAGAATTCAGGTACTTCGGGTAGAAAAATCGCGCAAAAACACCAAGCGATTTATTTTTGAGAAGCGCCCAAAAACAGCCAAATATCAGTCTCATGAGGCGCTCGCTAAAAAAAATCAAAACTTTCTAACGAGAGCAACTGGCTACTTGAAACTTTTGCACGCCAAACGCAAGGAATTCAAGTACTTCAGGTAAAAAAATCGCGCAAAAATACCAAGCGATTGATTTTTGAGAAGCGCCGAAAAACAACCAAATATCAGTCCTATGAGGCGCTCTCTAAAAAAATAAAAACTTTCTAACGGGACCAACTGGCTACTTGAAACTTTTGCACGCCAAACGCAGAGAATTCAGGTACTTCGGGTAGAAAAATCGCGCAAAAACACCAAGCGATTGATTTTTGAGAAGCGCCCAAAAATAGCCAGACATCAGTCCCGTGAGGCGCTCTCTAAAAAAAATCAAAACTTCCTAACGAGACCAACTGGCGACTTGAAACTTTTACAGTAAAAAGTCAAGGAATTCAGGTACTTCGGGTAGAAAAATCGCCCAAAAACACCAAGCGATTGATTTTTGAGAAGCGCCCAAAATTAGCCAGATATCAGTTACATGAGGCGCTCTCTAAAAAAAATCAAAACTTTCTAACGGGACCAACTGGCTACTTGAAACTTTTGCAGTCAAAAGACAAGGAATTCAAGTACTTCAGGTAGAAAAATCGCGCAAAAACACCAAGTGATTGATTTTTGAGAAGTGCTCAAAAACAGTCAAATATTAGTCCCATGAGGCGCTCTCTAAAAAAAATCAAAACTTTCTAACGAGACCAACTGGCTACTTGAAACTTTTGCCGTCAAAAGTCAAGGAATGCAAGTACTTCAGGTAGAAAAATCGCGCAAAACCACCAAGCGAGTGATTTTTGAGAAGCGCCCAAAAACAACCAAATATCAGTCCCTTGAGCCGCTCTCTAAAAAAACAAAACTTTCTAACGAGACCAACTGGCTACTTAAAACTTCTGCACGCCAAACGCAGGGAATTCAGGTACTTCGGGTAGAAAAATCGCGCAAAAACACCAAGCGATTGATTTTTGAAAAGCGCCCAAAAACAGGCAAATATCAGTCCTATGAGGCGCTCTCTAAAAAAAATCAAAACTTTCTAACGAGACCAACTGGCTACTTGAAACTTTTGCCGTCAAAAGTCAAGGAATGCAAGTACTTCAGGTAGAAAAATCGCGCAAAAATACCAAGCGATTGATTTTTGAGAAGCGCCCAAAAACAGCCAAATATCAGTCCCATCAGGCGCTCTCTAAAAAAAATCAAAACTTTCTAACGAGACCAACTGGCTCCTTGAAAGTTTTACAGTCAAAAGTCAAGGAATTCAAGTACTTCAGATAGAAAAATCGCGCAAAAACACCAAGCGATTGATTTTTGAGAAGCGCCCAAAAACAGGCAAATATCAGTCCCTTGAGGCGCTCTCTAAAAAAATCAAAACTTTCTAACTAAACCAACCGGTTACTTGAAACTTTTGCACGGCAAAACTAATGCATTCAGGTACTGCAAGTAGAAATTTCGCGCAAAAACACGCAGGTACTGGTTTTTGAGAAGCTCCCAACAACGACCATAAATTACCCACATGGGGCGCTCTCTAAAAAAATCAAAAATTTTCAAATCAATCGAAACTACCCACTGAGCTGTAAAATCCGCAAGTTCACCTAAGACCTTAGAACCGAAGGACCAAGAAAAATTATAAAAATTTTGCACTTTTTTCACGCATCTGGCCAAATAATTCGGAAAAATCCTCCATTCAGCTGCAAAAAAGCCTTGAACTAAGTTTTTTGGCATTCAATCCGTCCTAGTTCCATCGTCTGTCTATTTTTACACTTTTATGCACTTTCCAGTTACCAGTTGATGATTTCACGGCTTTAAAACAACACTCTAATCTCATTCACAAGCTATTCAATAGATAACAAAGCTCTGATAAAAATGCTTAAAAAAATTACGGCTGCAATTAGTCGATAAGCGCCGCTCACCTGCATGGCAGCTCACCGATTGATCAATTAGCCGTCGCATTAGTTTATTTGTTCAATTTAAAATCGTTGCAATTGATTCAATTAGAAGCATGTGTGGTTCAAAAGGCTGTTCAAACGTGTCCGACAATTGAAGTTCAGGCTATTTTCGTTTAATGGATGACATCGTTTGTGAGCAAGTTGTTGTGAATTCGGTGTTTTTTGTTCATTTTGGTAAGTTTTACTCTAACGTTATCACCGAACGTTTAACGATTTGCCTCCGCAATCGAATTAGAGTGTTGCTGAGGGCTTGGCCACATGCAGACTGATTCATTTTTAAACTCGTCGCTCAGATTACTGCTAAAACAGTTTACGCTAGTCATCAGCGTTTACAATTTCGTTTTTTTGCAGGAACCAGTTCCACAACAGACCGCACAGATGAAGGCGAAGAACTGTGGGCGAAGTGGAACTACATCGTTACCAATTGGGAAGATCAATGGAAGAAGCAGAACGTTCAAATCCGGGAATTGGTGCGACGGGGGATTCCGCTCCATTTTCGAGCCATCGTTTGGCAGCTGTTGTGCTCTGCAGCTGAGGCTCCCGAAAAAAAGCTCTATGCCGAATACATTAAGGTGCCTGGCGGCAAAAAATGGACAAAAAGACGCTAATTGCACGCATTTCAGACCAAGTCGCCCTGCGAGAAAGTGATCCGACGGGACATCGCTCGAACCTACCCCGAGCACGATTTCTTCAAAGAGAAGGATGGTCTGGGACAAGAATCTCTTTTCAACGTAATTAAGGCTTATTCGTTACATGATCGCGAAGTCGGGTATTGTCAAGGGTCTGGATTTATCGTCGGGCTTCTTCTGATGCAGGTAAGTGGAAACTCCCAACTCCTCTACAATACAGTCAAATCAAATGGGAAGTTTGCCTGAAACAGCATTTGTCCTTTGCGTGCACATTTAAGTTTTCCAAATTTTTTGCAAAGCCGCTTGCCAATTCTAAAGACGCTCAAACGGTGAGTACCACATAGTTGTGCGATTGAACTTCAACCACCATCCACCCGATTTTCCAGCGTAAAACTTTGGCAATTTCTTGTAGATGCCCGAAGAAGAAACCTTCGCCGTTCTAGTCAAAATCATGCAAGACTACCGAATGCGGGACATGTTCAAACCGAGCATGGCCGAACTGGGGGTGTGCATGTTCCAACTTGAGAGCCTGGTAGCTGAACTGCTGCCCGATCTGAACCAGCATTTCCAGTCTCAGAACTTTCACACTTCGATGTACGCGTCCAGTTGGTTCTTGACGCTTTTCACCACCGCGCTCAGTTTGCCATTAGCGTGCAGGATCATGGATGTCTTCCTGTCCGAAGGCATGGAGATCATCTTCAAGGTGGCATTGTCGATGCTCACCATTGGAAAGGAGGATTTAATGTCGCTGGACATGGAAGGCATGTTGAAGGTAAAGCGCAACCGAACCTTGAATCGGCCACTTTCTAACTAGCAGCTTCATTTGCAGTACTTCCAAAAGGAGCTGCCTGCCAAGGCAGAAGCCGACCCTGAAGGCCTGCTGCAAATGGCCTACGGCATGAAATACAATGCGAAGAAGATGAAGAAGCTCGAAAAGGAATATCACGTGATTAAGAGCAAGGAGCAGGAGGAAATGACTGAGTTGAAGGTAATTATTTGCATATT